ACATAAATTATTAAGATATACCCACCAAAAAGTTTGTTAATTGAAAATCAGTAACTTTAGAGAACTCACTGTGAGGACATAAATTATTAAGATATCTTTAAAATGGTAGCAAGAACATATTTTAACTTTAAAGTCATCACTTGTAGTTGATATTTTCTCACGTGATCTACTTGGTAAGTAAATGGTTCATCATCCACGATGGGTTTTCATGTTCTCTGTCAAGTCAGCAAGTTGAGCAAAACAATACTAGAGCAATAGTTTTTTGATTTTGGCTTTTTTCAAGCCAGGTCTAGGTGCCATAAAAATAATTTACTGAAGAGTGAAACTTATTTTACCTACAGTGTAGACCCAAACCTGGATGATCATCAGATTACCCAGGGACCTTTGTTTTCATATGAGAATTTTCAAATATGCATAAAAGTAAAGAGAATAATATGCATCTACATTAATATATGTAACTGGCATCCTGATTCAGTAATTACAGTGTTTTTCCACGTTTGCTTCATTCTTCCCTTAACATTTTCTTCCTTGTTGAAGTGTTTTCAATCCTAAATTTCATGTAATTTTACCTCTACATGCTTCAGTTTGCATCTCTTACTGATAGCATTTTCCTATATTATCACAATGCTATTATTAAACTTTAAAAATTTAGGAATAATCTTCTGGAGCTTTTCAAAAATACAAATTCTTCTGTATACTTAGAGTTGTTGGGGTACCTGCAAAAATAATAATTTAAAAAAAACTCCAGATAATTTGAAAAATTAATTGGGTTTGGGAACCAGTGGTCTACACAAGCAGTTGATTTCATTGAACTTTCCAAAATGTTTGAGTCATTCTAGAATACCTTAGTGATACCTAATGACTATTTTATAGTGTTTTACAAGTTACTCTGCAAGCATTAGATGCCATTGTTTTCTAGGTTTCAGTGCCTAAAAGAAGTAATAATGCATCCTAGAGTTATGTATTTTCTTTCTATTCACTAATCAAGTCATTTATGTCATGTTACAAGTAAAAGTACTATTTATTGTTACCATTTAATGAGATTAAGAAGGAAATTTATAAGTAGTAGGCCAATTTGAAAGGATAGTAGCATGCATTTAAATTTTTAGACATAGGTATAGAAATGATTTAATTGTCATTGCACTTACAGTATTCTCATTCTTTTTTTAGTAGTTTTCTAGTTACTAAAATCCATGTTATCACTGCAGTTTCTTTTTTTTAAGTCCTATTACGAAAGAAACCTCCATTTTTAAATCTACTTTATGTTGCTGTTTGCAGCCCTCTATCTAAATGTACACTGGACCTAAGCAATGAAATTGATTAAACCAACCTACTTGTCAAGAATGCTGAGATGATAAAATAATATAGCAGATGTGATGTTTATCAATATTTCCCAAAGTAGTATTTCCCTAAAAGTAACTGGTGTTAATTATTATAATTTGAAAAATAAACTCCATGGTCTCATAATTCTTGAAAACATTAGGATGAACAGAATAGTACCTCGAATGAGTGCTATTTCATATATGCTAAATAAATTCATTGTGAATTGTCAAGAGAAATACATAATATGAGCACTGTTTAAACTTTCTTTGGCCATGAACCCTTCTGATGCTGAACATTTCATGAGACCAGTACAGTATTAACTTGGGAAGCAATGACTTAGATGAAAAACACTCAACCATTATAAAAAATTACACTGATTATGTCACCACTGTAGCCCAACTATGATAGGAAAGGAAGAGCAGTTGAAGAAAGAGCAAGCAAATCAACACCCAGTCAGTGGATTTATGAAAGATGATGCAAGTGATATTCAAGAGGATTCTGCAACTGAAGACAAGTTCTATAGCCTGGATGAATTGCATATTCTGGACATGATAGAACAGGTAAGCCTGATCGGACAGGGTACAGCCCTGCCTTCGTTCTTCCAGAAACAGTTGTTAACCTTTGTTTTTGCCATGACTCTATGAACAGCATGTTAGCCTAGTGGTCTGTGCTGTATTTGTGAGGAGCAAATAAAAACAGGAAGAGGGAGGGACAGGATTGGTAGAGGGGAAAAAGAACCTTAGGAGCTGAAATTTTTCTCTTTAGCCCTCAGACTATTTCCTGGCTTTAATTATTAGGCAGTGTTGATCACAAATGTGTTCCTTGTGAAAGATTTTCAAATACCACAAGGGAAAAAAAGACTTGGCTTAATCCCATTGATTTAATTTTGAGAAAAAGAGTTTTATAAAACAAAGGTACGTTCATTTTTAAAAAATTAAACTGGTTGTAGACATGACATGTCTACAAAAATATTAATGTACAACAGTGTTTTGTTTTGTTTTCCTTTGGTTCCTTTCCTAGTAGTGGTCACTTTGGGAATGATGTACCTATATGTGAAAGTGATTTAAGTGCTCAGTAGAACACTAAATCAGACAAAGCATATGACTTTTTTTTTTTTAAATCACTTGATTTAAATGAGAATTCTATACTAAGGTAATTTAATGATAATTTCATGAAAAGGTAATTTAATGATAACCTATTCCATAGTATGTAGGAATATTGATTGTCTAAGGGTACATTTAGTAAAAATGATTCCCTGGCTGATAATTGTCATATCTCCTTTTCCCTTTCCAATTATAATAATAGAATACTTATATTTTAACTGAAATGACATAGTCTCAGCTTTGGATTTCAGACTAAAGTTTAAATATGGGGCCTTTGGTTTTCATTCAATAGTTATGAGAGCTCCAAAATACAATAAAAATATGACACACATTTTGGAAAATGTTTATGCCCTCATTTATTCAAAAAACATTCAGCACTTGCTTTTTGTCAAGAGCTATGCTAAGACATGGTCCCTGTGATCATAGTGTTTACAATCCAGTGGAGAAGTTGAATATTAAGCTAAGGTGGTACTGAGTAATAATTAAGTGTTTGGGCACTTCAGGCTGCCTGAGTTAGAATTCTGGCTTCTCCACTTTCTATGTAACCTTGATAAGTTACTTAACTCAGTTTTATCATCTCTAAAATGGGAATAATAAGTGCCTACCTCATACGGTTTTTACGACAATAAAGGCCTTACCAAAAAAAGCTTAAAAATATGGTAAGCATGCACGTAATGTTATCCAGTAGTAGTAGCTGTAGACAAGTAACTGTGGGATTGTTTAGTGATTGCTGTAATTGGGGAGAGGTGGGTTTATCTGCACTAATCGGAGAAGTGATGTTTGCATTGAGACATAAAGCATGAGTAGGAGTTAGATGGCAACTTTAAATCCCCTTTAACTAAAGAATTAGTGTTTTTTTAGAGGAAAATAAGGCATGCATATTCCATTTGCTCATTAGGGCTCAACCAGTAAAGTAACTGCAGAATATGGAGAAACTGAGAAGGAAAAGCTTGCTCGGCAGCGGCAGCTTTATAAATTGCACTATCAATGTGAAGTAAGTACTTTTGCCATTCTGTCTGAAGCCAGTAAGAAGTAGTTGAAATGTTCAATTTAATGGTAGTTTCTTTTTTTTTTTTTGAAGAACCCATTTTTTTTTCTTTTAATATATGGTGACTTGAACAGAATTTACTATGAAGTAATATTTTTCATTGATCAGGATTTCAAAAGACAGTTGAAAACAGTGACTTTTCGGTGGCAAGAAAACCAAATGCAGATTAAGAAGAAAGACAAAATCATTGCATCTCTGAACCAACAAGTGGCTTTTGGAATCAATAAGGTTTCCAAGTAAGTGCAAATCTGTTGGTAACAGGAAATTCTGGATTTGCTCCTTTATGAACACGATCTTTAAACGATAATCCCTGTGTAGCCACTAGGTGGCATTGTGACTACACATTAGGAACTGCCGACTTACAGGCCTGCACTTGCTTAAAAACCAACTATATTTTTGCCTTGCCAGCTGGATTGAGAAATAAGCAAATGCTCACTCTATATATCAAGCCTTATATGTATTGGCTGAACAAGTGTGATTATAATAGAATTACATGAGAAATAGAATTAACTTTCAGGTCATGATTCTAATTTATAAAAATATGGCCAATGATTTGCTCTTTCTTTATGGCATATAATGAATTCATTCCTCAGAGACACCCGTGAAATCACTTGAATGCTTTTTTGTATTGGTCTCTCAGAGTTTCTGTGTTCCAAGACTAAGAGATTAAAAATGAATCAAATTCCTGAAGACTTCCCTCCCAACATTGCCTTAACAATCTTAAGTATTAAATACCTAAGACTAAAAATTCTGACTTAATAGAGGAAAATGAGTGTCTTGTTTTATTCTTTTTGTACTAATAACTGTCTCCAATCATATCAGTTGAAATAATATGATTTGTAATACATTATTTTAATATATAGTAATGCTACAGGATGCCAGTTGTCCATGAAGTCTAATTTGAAATCCATTAGTTCTTAGACTGCTAATAGAGTGAATAGACAGGTTCTAGGTAATATCTTAGAGTAAGGAGTCCACAATATCAATTATGAAATTAGAGAAATATTTGGCAAAGATTTAGGTCTTAAATTTTCTCCCATATATGATATCATCCAACCTTAAGGGAATTTTTGAGAGGAACTGGATGCCATAGTGCTGGCAACATAATCTCAGTTAAAAACACTTTGGCTTAGCCCTGCTGGAGTTAGATGCTTCAAGTTCAAGGAGGTGAGGACCTAAGATGGCTTTGGCAAATCTAAGCTGAATACAGTCACTTAAGAATCCACACTTAGGGGTTCAAAACTTTGTCTTTTAGCTTGGAAGGCAATGACCAATCCATATGTATGTTCTATCAGAGATCAGAAAAGTAATGCCATCCACGCAGATGAGCTGCTGCCTTTCTCCTTTACCGTCTGAGGATATCCTTCAACTCTTATAGCTGACCTAGGCACCCTTTGTATGCTTGAGACTACAAACAGACCATTTTAGGGGATGCATATGTCTTCATGCAAGGAGCATTCACCAGACATTTACTGGGGGCCCATTATGTGAGAAGAATTATGTAAGGCACATACCAAGATACCAAGACATGTCAGACATTGTGAGCTAATGGAGAGTACAGATTAATTTGTTTAAAATTCCTTAAAACAGAGGGACTTCTAGTTCTGCCAAGAAATAGTAGTAGTATTCCTTGCAAATCTTCCTACTTACAACTAAAACACCCTGGATATAACACAACAAACAAGCAGAGGAAGACTCTAAAAGGTAGAAGAAAATAGACTATCTCGAGACCTTGGTACTTGAGGAATGATATGGCAGTGACTTTTCTTATTGCCTCCCATATATCCTAGATGGGGTACTGCAGAAATCACCAACCTGGAACAGCCAGTAGGTAGAGAGGGAAAAGCTTCGAGAAAAGCTTGTTTCCTCTATCCAAAGGATCAGGAAAAGGAAGATATAATAACAGAAAGCCTTTTTGGCAGTATCCACCTACTCTAGTCAAGCTCCAATGGTCCCATACCACCCCTTGGAAGCAAGTAGTGTGTTCCAACATGGCAGATAGCATAAACCAGATTTCCTTGCTGGGGTAGTATCAGCAGTACTGAGCATGCAGCTGGTCTCCCATTCCCCACCAGGCAGGTAGTGTTGTGGTTCCTCTGCCAGGATAGTGTCAATGTGATCCAGCAGCAAGCTAAGCCTCTACCTCTGCCCAGCATCAGTGAGACTTAGGGTAACCTGAGGTGGAACTGGTCAATACTAGGTATCACCTGTACTCTCCTCATGGGGAGCTGAGTTGCCACCCCTGGGGCTAGTTGGCACTCTCTTTTTCTCCCCTCTCCCCAGCTGGTGCCAGAGGGGCCCAACATGGATCTCCTGCTCTCCACCCTGTAGCAACAAAGCAATGTGAGTCAGCCCTCTGCTTTCTCCTTCCCTGGTGTCAGTAGGGCCCAACAGGAAGCTGATCTTACACTCTACTCAGAGGCAAAAAGCAGAATGAGTTGGTGCCCCACTTTCTTGGGAAATGTCAGTGGGACCAGGGAGGAACTGAACTTCTACACCACTCATCTGCATTGAGACAGAGTGTCAGTGTCCGATTTTGGTGGGATGTTGTTAGCAGGGCTGAATGGGAAGCTAAACATATACACTCAATACACGTTCACTCAGTCCTCACATTACACAGGGGGTCTTCCTGCTAAAAAAAAAAAAAAAAAAAAAAAAAAGATTAAATCCAGAGTCTCATAATATCCAAAATACCTAGGTATACAAAGAACTAGGACAATCACAACATGAAAGAGAAAGACAGTCAACAAAGGACAACTTTAAGATGATTCAGATTTGAGAATTGTCTGACAAAGATTTTAAAGCAACCATCATAACAGTGCTTCAGCAACAAAATTGAATTCTCTTTAAACGAGAACCTAGGAAATCTTAGCAAAAAAATGTTATAATAAAGGATGGAAATTATAAAACTGAAAAATACAATAACTGAAAATCTTGCTGGATATAATCACTAATAAATTAAAGATGACAGAGGATTGAACCAGTGAATTTGAAGACAGATCAAAAGACATTACCTAATCTGAACAGCAGAGAGGAGATAAGACTAGGGAAAAGATTTAAAAAAAGACAGAGTCTCAGTGACCTGTGGGACAATAATAAAAGAGTTAAAGTTCTTACTAGAATCTCAGGAGGAGAGAAGAGAGATGGGGGGGTGGTTATTAAAAGAAATGAGATGAAATACATAAATTTACAAATTCAAGAAGCTAAGTGAATCCCAAATAGTATAAACCCAAAGAAGTCCATTCCAAGTCACATAACTAAACAGAAAACTAAAGACAAAAAATCTTGAAAGAACCAGAGAAAAAGAACACATGTGGGAACACAAATTCAAATGACATCGAATTTCTCATCTGAGACCATGGAGGCCAGAAGGAAGTGGCACATTATTTAAGTACTGGAAGAAAAAAACCTAAAAGAAAACAACAGAAAACAAGAATCTTGAATCCTATATCCAGCAAAAGTGTCCTTTAGGAAGAAGGGAAATAAAGACGAGTCTCATACAGGAAAAGTATAAGAATCTGTTGCTACCAAAGCTACCATTAAAGAATGGCTAAAAGAGGAGCACCTGGGTGGCTCAGTCGTTAAGCATCTGCCTTTGGCTCAGGCCCTGATCCCAGGGTCCTGGGATCGAGTCCCACATCGGGCTCCCCGCTCAGCGGGAAGCTTGCTTCTCCCTCTCCCACTCCCCCTGCTTGTGTTCCCTCTCTTGCTGTCTGTCTCTCTATCAAATAAATAAATAAAATCTTTAAAAATAAAAAGGGCTAAAAGGAAGATCTGTAAACATAAAGGAAATGCTAATAGAAGCTTGGAACTTCAGAAAGGAAAGAACATCAGAATGAGTAAAGAGGAGGGTAAATAATAAGTCCATCCTATTTCTCATTAATTTCTTAAATCATACTTGGTGCTTGAATCAAAAATTATTAATACCATCTCTTGTGGAGTTTAACGTGTAGAGGAAATACAATTAAATTTTAAAAGTGTAGAGGGTAAAGGGACCTATGTGAAAGTAGGGAAAATATCAATACCAGTAGACTATACATATTGTAATATCAAGTGCAACCACTAAGAAAGCTAAAGAGAGAGAAAGAGATAAATTCGAATGCACTATAAATAAGTCAAGATGTAATCCTAAAAAATGGTCAAATAACCCACAAGACGGTAAGAAAAGAAAAACAGGAAACAAAAAAATAATGGCAAACTTAAGCCCTAACATCAATAATTACCTTACATGTAAGTGATTTAAATACATCAATTAAAAGACACTGGTAGAGTGGATTTCAAAAACAAAACAAAACTAATCCAACAATATGTTATTTACAAGAAACTTCAGTTTCATCAACATAGGTTGAAAATAAAAGGATGGTAAAATGTATACAATGTAAAAACATTAAAAAAGCAGGAATGGTTGTATTAATATCAGATAAAATGGACTTCAGAGCAAAAAACTACTGGAGACAAAGAGGGATGTTACATAATGATGACAGGATCAATCCACCAAGAAGACATAACAACCTAAAGGTGTATGTGCCCAACAACAGAGCCTCAAAATATATGAAGCAAAACTTGATAGAACTATAAGGAGAAATAGAAAAACCTGCAGTTATAGTTGGTAATTTCAGCACTGTATTCTCAGTAATTTTATAAAACTACTAGATAGAAAATCAAAGGTACAGAATTTCTACAATCCCATCAACCAGCAGAATTTAATCAATATTTATAGGACATGTCAACAGACAACAGCAGAATACACATGCTTTCAAGTGGCCATAAGAAACCATGATAGAACATATCCTGGCCCATAAAAACAACAAATTTAAAAGCAATGAAAGCATGCCAAGCATATACTCAGATCAAAATGGAGTCAAACTAGAAATCAATACCAGAAAGATAACAGGAAAATCTCCAAACTACACAGCACTTCTAATTAATCCATGGGTCAAAAAAGATTTGAAGGGAAATAAAAATATGTTGAACTGAATTAACATTAAAATACAATGTATCAAAATTTGTGGGACACAGCTGAAGTAGTTCTTTGAAGATTTATAGCACTAACTGTACACATTTGAAAAGAGTTGAAAAAGTCTCAATCTAATCTAAGCTCCCTCCTCAAGAATCCAGAGGAAAAAAAGCAAAATAATTTAAAACAAGCAGATGGAATTAATAAAGGTTAGAAGTAATGAAATTGCAAACAGAAAAACAATAAAGAAAATCCATGAAACAAAGAGCTGTTTCTTTGAAAATATCAATAAAATTGACAGACCTCTACCAAAACAAACAAAAAGGAGATACATATACCACCTGATGGTATGAAATGAAATGAAGGAGTGAAAACACAGCAGACCCTGCAGATAGAGAATTATGCTGAGTGAAAAAAGTCAATCCCCAAAGCTTATATACCGTATGATTTCATTCCTATAACATTCTTGAGATGGCAGAATTTCAAAAATTTTAACATGACAAAATCATAAAAATGGAAAACAGATTAGTGATCCAAGGTTAGGAGGAGGAAATGGGAATGGGAGCAAAATGAGGTATTGTGATAAAACTGTTCAGTGTCTTGACTGTTATCATTATCAACATCCTGGTTAATATACTATAGTTCTATAAGACATTAACATTGAGGGAACATGAGCAGAGGGTACATGGGATCTCTCGGTATTATTTCTTACACCTGCATATGAATCTATGATTATCTCAAAAGTTTAATGTTTTGTGTGTGTTTTTTTTGTTTTGTTTTGTTTTTTAAGTACAGTTACTCCTCAACACGGGTTTGAACTATGTGGGTCTGCTTATATGCAGATTTTTTTGATAAATATAATATAGTACCATAAATGTATTTTTCTTTTATGATCTTAGTAATATTTTCTTTCACTTCGTTGTAAGAATACAGTATATAATACATATAATAGACAAAACATATATAATTTGACTATATTATCAGTAAGGCTTCTTTCTGGTCAACAGTAAGCTATTAGTAGTTAAGCTTTTGGGGAATCAAAAGTTATATAAAGATTTTCATCTGCATTTGCTGGGGGTAGGCATCAGTGTCCCTAACCCCTATGTTGTTCAAGGCCAACTGTACATATAAATAACTGTCAAATGGCGCCATACTTAATAGGGATTTTGTAGGGTAAAAAGAGTACTGATGATTGTTGTGGCAAGGAAGAACTTCATTGAAGACAATATTGAACCTTGCCTATGTAGGTTGAGATTGGAAAAAACACAGAGCATTTAGGCTGAGAGGAAACATGAGCGAGCATGGTATGTGTTCTCATATAGCTTTTAAGCCTTTGTTCAATTCACTTGAACATGTCTCGAGTATATGATAAAAATGTAAATATTTTTAAATTGTAAAATGTTGATTTCTTTTACTTTATGGTGTTTATTAGGAAGCAAAAAAAAAATCTTTTTTTCTTTGGCCTATTTCAGTGTCACTCCTACAGTAAATGTTTGCTGATGATAATTGAAGAATTAACAAAGAAGATTTATATAATAGCAACATATTTTGAACAAATTACAATAAGCACTTAATAAATGTAAATTACTGTCAATAAAATTCATATAATAAACTTGATATCTAGCCAGAGTAAGCTTGAGAACTTAGATCTTTCAGAAAAGAATGTCTAATCCTATCCTCATGTTATTCAAGAGAAAAATAAGACTAAGAAGTTGTGACTGCCTGAACATATATAGCTGTTTCCTATCCAAGCTGGATAAGAACTATGCCTACCTTATCCTCTATTATTTAAGAATCCAGGTCTTCTGAATTCCCCACTGCCTCTGTCAGCTCTTTATTGCCCACTCTTAACTATAGCTAGGTAAAATATTAAAGTAATGGAAGCATTCAAAGGAAAGGAGGATGTCAACTTAAAAAGTCTTACTACCTCCTTTTCAAATCTCTCTATATCCTCCTGCATACCATAGTAACAAAGCTTGTCTTTCCTCTTCTTTACTTGAGAACATGATCTCTTTTGTGTAGAAACAGACCTGGTTTCTTTTCATTCCATTTTCAGTTCAATAGAACATTGATGAACAGACACTTCTCCAAAGAAGACATACAAATGGCTAACAGACACATGAAAAAATGTTCATCATCATTAGCCATCAGGGAAATTCAAATCAAAACCACATTGAGATACCACTTTACACCAGTTAGAATGGCAAAAATTGACAAATGTTGGAGAGGTTGTGGAGAAAAGGGAACCCTCTTACACTGTTGGTGGGAATGCAAGTTGGTACACCCACTTTGGAAAACTGTGGAAGTGCCTCAAAAAATTAAAAATAGAGCCACCCTGTGACTCAGCAATTGCTTGCACTCCTGGGTATTTACCCCAAAGACACAGATGTAGTGAAAAGAAGGGCCATATGCACCCCAATGTTCATAGCAGCAATGTCCGCAATAGCCAAACTGTGGAAAGAGCCAAAATGCCCTTCAGTAGATGAATGGATAAAGAAGATGTGGTCCATATCTACAATGGAATATTACTCAGCCATCAAAAAGGATGAATACCCAACTTTTAAATCAACATGGATGGGACTGGAGGAGATTATGCTAAGTGAAATAAGTTAAGCAGAGAAAGTCAATTATATGGTTGTACTTATTTGTGGAACATAAGGAATAGCATTAGGAGAAGGAAGGGAAAAATGAAGGGGGTGAAATCGGAGGGAGAGACAAACCATGAGAGACTATGGACTCTGAGAAACAAACTGAGGGTTTTAAAGGGGAGGGGGGTGAGGGGATGGGTTAGCCCAGTGATGGGTATTAAGGAGGGTACGTACTGCATGGAGCACTGGGTGTTATACGAAAACAATGAATCATGGATCACTACATCAAAAACTAATGATGTATGGTGAACCCAACATAACAAAATTAAAAAAAAAAATCTTTTAAATCTAAAAAAAAAAAACATTGTCTCTATAGCTTCTAAGAAGCTTGGAGTAAAGGTGAGTGGGTAATCTCTGAAATCTAATAGTAAGCAATCTAGCCAACATTTAAAGTCATTGTTTTAAGGTTATCATTCCAATAATTTATATTAACTCAAATTCCTGTGTATCCCAAGTGTCTGAACATAGCAAAACTTAAAGAGAAATGTGCTTTTGCTGTAAACTCCTTCATGTTATAGCAAATTAATGGGTCAGTGTAAAAACTTAGTTGTGAGGAGATATATAGCAGCACAAGGAAGGAACATCAGAAATGGTTTGTGAACATATATCAAAGAAAAAGTACTACTTTGCACTTCTCTCAGTAGCTTTTTGCATATTAATTTTTAAAACAATCACAGGTTATGTTTTCTGATTTATATAAAATTTTTAACCAGTCTTCCCATGATTAGGTCATGTCAGTGCCTCCCCAGTTATAATTTACTATTTTAATTAAAATTCTTAATTGCACACAGCCTCATTACTTCTATATTTAATATCTGATTTCTTTCAGACCTTAACCCTTTAATAGTTTATATGACTTGATATAATAACTTTGTAAGAAAAGTTTTGAAGTTCTCAATCCTACCACAGGCCTAGGAAATCAGAACATACCATCTGTGTTTTCTTGTGGGTAAACTAAAGTACAAAGGACTAAAGATATTTTTCTAAGTCTTTGAACTGGGGATACAAGTTCTCTTTGGCTTCTAATTAATGGGGTTAGAACTTAGTATTTACCTTCTTGGGGAAGTCAGTAAATCAGACATCAGGAAAAAAAAAAAAAAAAGATAAATTCCAGAAGGACTAGGTATAGGAGACTAATTATTTTCAGGCTCAATATTTGTGGCCCAAAATGGTTATACTTAGTCCCTCCTAGCTACAAGGGGAGCTGTTCTGACTGTATTAATGACAAATAATTTCTAATATTTATCACTTTCATCTTTCCTTAGATTACAGCGTCAGAGCCATGCTAAAGATAATGAAATCAAGAATCTTAAAGAGCAACTTTCCATGAAAAGGTACAAACTTAGCTGTTGCTTTGGTTGAGTATACATCTCTGAAACTCTAGGTATATTCATTCAGCATGTTCTGGCCAGGGTAGCCATATAATTTATTATCCAAACTGGTGTACTTTTGAGCATCAAATTGAGCATTAATAATTAGACTGGGACAATAGTTACAAACTGGAATTGTCCTAGGCAAATTGATGGGGGGGTATGTTCACTTTAACTCTGCCCTAGAAAACTGCTGGGAGAGATTAGATCGGCAAAGTCATGGTCCCACAACAAGCGAGGCAGGGACCAGAGCTTATGTGTTCTTAACTCTTTGCCCTAATCAATACTGCTAAGTGTGACTGATTTATGAAATTGGCTGAGTTTTATTCTGATTCACATATTTTTGCCTATAGGTAATTTTTTAATAACTTTTTTGAGATCTAATTCATATAGCATAAAACTCAGTGTGTTAAATTATACAATTCATTGGCTTTTAGGATATTCATAGAGGTATACAGCCATCACCTCTGTCTGGCTCCAGAACATTTTTATCACCCTAAAGATATCCTGGTTCCAGGGGAACCTGGGTAGCTCAGTCGTTAAGCATCTGTCTTCAGCTCAGGTCATGATCCCAGAGTGCTGGGATCGAGCCCCACGTCGGGCTCCCTGCTCCACGGGAAGCCTGCTTCTCCCTCTCCCACTCCCCCTGCTTGTATTCCCTCTCTCGCTGTCTCTCTCTGTCAAATAAATAAATAAAAATCTTAAAAAAAAAAAAAAAGAAATCCTGGTTCCATTAGAAGGCATTCCTCATTCTCCCCTCCCCTAGCTTCTGGCAATCATTCATTTATTATTTGTCCCAGTGGATTTGCTTATTCCAGACATTTCATATAAATGTAATCATGTAAGTACCCTCTTGTGATTAACTTCTTACTATATTGTATGTCCATATTGTAGCATATCTCAGTATACATTCCTTTTTATAGGTAAATAATATTCCATTGTATAAATACACCACAATTTATCTTTTCATCAGTTGATGGACATTTGATTTGTTTCCATTTTTTCACTATTATGAATAATGCTATTATGAACATTTGTAAGCATATTTTTGTATGAGCATAAGGTTTTCAGTTCTCTTGGGTGTATACCTAAGAGTGGGATTGCTGAGACATGCAGTAAACTCTGTTTAACTTTTTGAGGAACTACCAAACTTTTCCAAGTGACTGCACATCTTACAGTCCCACCAGCAATGGATGTGGGTTCTGATTTCTCCACCTCCTCACAAATACTTGTTGGATTACGTGTCTTTATTTTACCCATTGTAGTGGATGTGAAATAGTAGATCATTGTGGTTTTGATTTGCATTTTCCTAATGATTTATTATGTTGAACATCTTTTTGAGTACTTATTGGCTATTTATGTATCTCCTTGGAGAAATGTCTATTCAGATCCTTTGGCCATTTTTTAAATTGGGTTCTTTGTCTTCTGTTTAGTTTTCAGAGTTCTATGCATGTGGATACAAGTCCTTTATCAGATACATGATTTGCAAATATTATCTTCTATTCTGTGGGTTGTCTTTTTACTTTCTTGATGATGTCCTTTAAAGCACAAAAGTTTTTAATTTTGATGGAGTCTAATTTATTTTTTTCTCTTGTTCTCATAAGCAATTATGCAGCAGTATTCAATGGCATAATAAGTCCTCTTGGTTGAATTAATATATGTCCTTGAATATTTTTTTCCCTCAAGACACTCTGGCCATAGTGGTATTAACAATATATTGTTTTATCAAACTTCTCATAAATGTTTGTCAAGTATGCAAGCATCCAAGTGTTTCTAATAAAACATTGAGGATAGCTTTTGTACAAGTCCCTGTTACAATATTATATTTCCAATCAGTTGTTTCCTTTAAAGACATAATTTGGTTTGTATGCCCTAAAGTTAGGGCCTCAGGTGTAGGAAGCTGAAATGGGATAGGAAAAAGAGAGACCTGATAGGTAACCTTTCTCTATAATGTCCTTCATAAATACTGTCCTTATCATCTCCCTCTCTCATTTTTAAGCTGTAGGATTTGTTTTCATTCTAAGGTGTTGAATGTGAGCTGAGATACTGAGATAACCAGTGCAACATTTTAATGCAGTAATTTAGCTTTAATGCAGCGAGGGCAGGGATGATAAAAACCTTTGTAGTTGCTATTTCGGGGATACAGAAAGGCTTGTAGAAACTTTATGAGAAATTTAATGGTAATAGCTAATATTTATTTAATACTTAATATGTACTAAACACAAAATGTTTTTATGTATATTATCTGAATGTGTTTTCGCAACAGCTCTTTGAGGTCAATAATACAGTGTTCTTCATTTTCACATGTAAAGAAACTGAGATACAGAGAAGTTAAGGAATTTGCCCAAGGTTTCACATTTATTAAGTTTCAGAACTCAGATTCATCCTCAGATAACTTTATTTCAAAGCCAAGTTTTAAATCCTAGCCCTTACATTGACAACTTTAAAACATACTCTTGGTAGTAAAAGATAACAGTAAGGGTTAAGTAATGTCTTCTCTTGCTTTTATATGCTGTAAACTTTTACAAGAAATTTCTTACTCACTGAATAGCTTGAATCTTTCTCCCTCCTGAATAAGGGGGAAAAGTCTGTCCTTGCTGCAATGTTGCTGACTCTTTAATGATCATATATTTCAGATCTCAGTGGGAAATGGAGAAGCATAATCTGGAAAGCACAATTAAAACATACTTAAACAAACTGAATGCAGAAACTAGCAGAGCTTTAACAGCTGAGGTAAAAAAAAAAAAAAAAGAGAGAGAAATGGGGTTGGGGAGGGAAGTTTTGCTTGTGTACTAGTATACTAAAGAACTGAAAAAAGACTGTTCTAAATGAACAGAAATAAGTCATCTTAGGACCAGCCAGAAGAACATAGCTTCAACTTTTGTGCTTTTTTTGACTCATTGGAATTTTGTACATGATTACTTCAGTGTTGATGATCTTATGTTGTTTTTCCCCAAATGACTTCAGGAAATTGGTCTGCTTCAGTATGTATAGCAAATACATACATTTTGGGAAAATTCTCATGAAGCCAGGTCACTAAGCCAGATTTCTAAGAATAACATTTTACTGCTGGAGAGGACATCTCCTTTCTTTGTTACTTTCTACATAGATCTTCCCAAAGCACATACACATCATACACTCCCAATTTCAAAAACCAACTTACTTTCTAGACCCCCAGAATATCATCCAGTTTCTTCTAAGCTAACTAAGAACACCACAGCCAGGGTCTCTTCCAAAAGATATATGATTATGTATGTAATTTTTACTTATAGATAACCAAACTTGATATACAATAAGATTCAAATTTTTAGAGAGCTCACTAACATTAAAAGGATTATATAAACCTTCCCACATCTGTCATGGGTAAGCTGTATTCTTTAGCACAATGCTTGGGAATCCAGAGGTCAACAATCAAGGAATGATACCTGAACCAAAAATCCCTGGAGATTAGTAAAATGCAAGCTATAACTGAAAAACAAAACCCTCAGATTACGTTAAGAGCTCAAGTTTGTATATTTTGTGTCTCACTACTTTTAGTCAGAACATTTCTTTCTACTTCCAGTATTAATTTTAGAAACACTTAATGCTGTCCAAGAATATAATCTATTTTCAGCAAATATTGAGTGATTAGTGAGAAAAAACAGGCCAAGTGAGCATGCAACAGTAATGGTGCAGAATAAATTCCTGCTATGGGGAGACAGACTCGATGACCTCCCAAGGCCCATTTAGGTGGTCCTCCTGGCGTGGTCTGATTATTTTCTTACCCCTTCATCAATTAAAAAAAAAAAAAAGCAAATAGCAGGACTTCTGGGAGTGTTCTTAAACTTTACTGAATATTAGAGTTACCTGAGAACTTTTAAAAATCCCACTCCTCAGGCAGCACTTGGTATCAATTAAATTAGAATCTCTGGGACCAAGGCATCTTTTTTTAAAGAGTCTGAGATGATACCAGGGTATGTTCAAGTTTGAAAACTAATGTTCTGGAATGTTTACTAACCCAGTAACCATTGAGTAAAAAAGAATTGTAGAATTAATCAGAGTTTTTACAATGTATTATGGCTGGTCAGGAAGCTCAGGTGCTGGAAGAGATTGAAAAATAGCTTCAACTTTCCTTGAAATGATTGAGAAAAGGATGTGTTCATTTACAAGGGCATCTTCAACTTCTTTGTCTTTCTCTCAAAATTTGTAGGTGTATTTCTTACAGTGTCGTAGAGATTTTGGTTTGCTTCATCTAGAGCAGACTGAAAAGGAATGCCTCAGTCAGCTTGCCAGGGTGACTCACATGGCGGCAAGGTACCATTTCCCTCTTCCTTAATGCGTCTTCATCTCAGAGATACAAGTGGCTTTAAGGCTGAACAGAATCTGTGTTTTACATGTATGACATCAGAGTCTTTGAAGTGAACAAACCCTTATTTTTTTTAAACTTCCAAAGTCATTTAGTCACTTTGCTGCTTTTACTTGGTTGCTTCTGCGGAAGCACTGAAGTCTACTGAGTACAGTAATAGCTGCGGACAGATTTTTCCCTTTCTCTGTAGTGAAGTAGATAAAAAATCTCAGAAACATGCATGAAGCCCAGATATTTACAAAACAGGGTGGATTCTAAGTGGAAAACCTTTTTCTAATTAATTTCTCTTCTAATGCTTGATTTTTAAATACAAAAGGGAAAAATCAGTATTAACACCTAAAATCATATGGTAAAGGCAGTTTCTTGCTGTGTTATAATAAATGTGATTTTCAAATATCAGGCAGGTTGCATGAGATTATCCTTAAATTTATAATTTTATATCTTCATACTGAATTAATTAAATTAGAATTTCTGGGACCAAGGCATCATTATTTTTTAATGATTATCATTTTAATGATCATCATTATTCTTCAATTCTAAAGAATCAGAATCTCTGATGTTTAGCAAGATTCCCAGGATATACTGATGTGCATTCAGGTCCGGGAAGCACTGTTGTAAGTGATCAGTCTATCTTTGCTTGCTAGAGGGAGAAGGGGCACTATAAACTAAAATATTACCAAGCCTCTTTGTATAAGATGATCTCAGTGATAACTTGTTCTGCTCTTTTAAAGCTGGTGTGCTGGGTGATACTGGGGTGGGGATGTTATAACGGGGCCTTTTGAAAGGCCTCATGAAATCTCTCTTCTAGAGATGGCAGACCTTAAACACCTCAAAGCTGTTCCTACTTAAGTCATTTGGTGGGCATGTTTGGCAGAGCTGCTGTGTTTGTGCAATTTAGGCACTGCATAGAGGCAACAATCTAATTGATCCTTGCAGAAGAGGTACTTCTTTCTGATTTGCCCTCCCATAAGGAATATCTTTTTCTAATTTGCAGAAGAGCTGATAGGCCAGCCACAGCCCTGTGTTGTTAGGGTTATGGTGAAGATAGTCCAAAACCTGCTTCCAAGAGGAGTCAGCATCTTTGAGAATGCTCCTGCATTGGATGGCTAGGGCACTTTCTCTGTTTGACCTTCTCTGCCTCCTTACTTCAGTGGAGGGATTCCTGTGTAAAGGTTTTATATGTCCTAAAAAAAATATTATCAGGATAGAAGAACACTTGATGTTCTGGAAGCAGAAGTTATATTTGCTCTTGAAAAAAGAAATCTTATATGTTCCCAGTCTTTGTTTTATTTTTAATAACAAACCCTTCCATACAACTTTGTGCCAATTTGAGGTAATTGTTGGTGATGGAGGTAATTTTGTTTTATGTTATTTACATATATGCTAAAGAATATAATGGAAATTTTTGGAGACCTATGTGGTATATAAAAAGAAAGAACTTTCTCTTGTGTCTCCTTTCCTACACCAGCAATCTGGAATCACTTCAATTAAAGGCTGCAGTAGAGAGTTGGAATGCCATCGTAACAGATGTTAGAAACAAGATTGCGTTTCTCAGGGTAAGTGGTGAAGTATCTCTGGAGTAAATTAACTGAATGTTGTAGGTGGTATATACTTAAAGAAAACATCTAACAACAATTACTGGAGAAATTTAGGGAAGAACCTGTTTTTTTCAGTTACTAAAGTTTATGCCTTTTTAAGGTTTGAGATCAATTATTTCCATGCTTCACACCTAATTTTCCAAATTCCAAAGGTGATGCTGCTCTAGTCAAAAATAAGTGTTGTAACTTGGTCTGAGTAATTATGTATTTATAAAATTAAAAGGAAGATCGAGCAGACCTGCATTAGTTTTCAATCTTAAACTTTTATATAATTTTTTCAGAATACAAAATAATAAATTATTCATTATTGGTTTAATAAAATTAGGACTGCTTAAGGTAATCTAAAGAGGTAACCCATTAAATATTTATTAATTTCTTCATTTGGCTTTAGGATATTTCTGTATTTATTTATTTATTTTTTTTTTTTAAAGATTTTATTTATTTATTTGACAGAGAGAGACACAGTGAGACAGGGAACACAAGCAGGGGGAGTGGGAGAGGGAGAAGCAGGCTTCCCACAGAGCAGGGAGCCGGATGTGGGGCTCGATCCCAGGACCCTGGGATCATGACCTGAGCCGAAGGCAGACGCTTAACGACTGAGCCACCCAGGCGCCCCGGATATTTCTGTATTTATATCTTAAAGTAAATATATATCTTAAAGTCACCCGGGTGGCTCAGTCAGTTAAGCATCTGCCTTCGGCTTAGGTCATGATCTTAGGGTCCTGAGATCAAGCCCCATATCGGGCTTCCTGCTCAGCGGGGAGCCTGCTTTTCTTTCTCCCTCTCCCTCTGTTTCTTCCCCCTGCTCATGTGCATGCTCTCTCTCTCTCAAATAAATAAATAATAAAATCTTTAAAAAAAAAAAAAAGTAAATATATAATGTTCGTTGTTTTGTGATTTCACAACACTGCTACTAAAATAATGACATTTAATTGTGACCGCTGTCTCAAAGCGTTACCTTCTTTTCTAGCTTTTCCACTGGTGGTCTTGACTGTTTCCCTCCCAGACTCTTTCTTATTCAGTCTTTAGTGATGCTTAGCACTTATGGTGGGTTTATTCAGAGTTCTGGCCTGCCCCTTGTTCTCCGTCCTTGTTTTCTTTCAAGGACATGTCTTCTGTGGGGAGTTTCTAAATGTTTTGTTTCTTAAGCATTTCTTTTTCAGTCTCTGTGGGCTGTTTACAAAACAATACTGTAAAGTAAAATGGGGACAGTGCCAAAAAATGTTGAAAGCATGTTGTTAAGTTTCAGTGATTGGAATCATACTTTTGGCAAAATCCAAGAGAATAAAACAAAGGTATATGTGGTACTGAAGAAAGCTAGAGGTATAACTTTGAAATAAACAAAATATGGGTATTTAGTGAATATTCCCTAAAATTTCTCCTCCAGTGAACATTTGCAAGTAGCTCAACTCTTGGTTACAAATACTTTTTTCCCATATTTATCAGCCCGTATATTACTTATAGCTTCTTGAATCTTTAGATGCTATTCACTTTATATGATTGGTTCCCAATTTGGGTCTGAAAATTATGGAAATACTGAGGAATTATCGCAGGGTCTGTGAATTATGTCTCTTTGTATCTTGCCAACGAACAGATACTTCTAAAGATACAACTATTTACGTTTGAGGATAGTGTGTTATAGAATTATTTTTATGTCAAAAACTGTTATGTTTGTTATTCCTGACATAATAGGTTGAGAATAACTATGTTTTATTATTAAAAACTACAGCAAGTGTTCCCATATGCTATTTCTTTGAAGTTGATTTTGCTCTAAAATACTGTTTCTCTTCTTCTACTAGACACAGTACAATGAACAAATTAACAAGGTGAAGCAAGGGTTTGCCTTGAGTACCCTGCCTCCAATCCAACTTCCTCCGCCACCACCTAGTCCTGAGATACTGGTAAGAAATAATGACATTTTGAAAAATTGCCATCTTTATCTTGAAATGGTAAGGGCTATAAAACAGTGAATATTCAGTATGTTTAATGTGTGTTCGAAATAGAATAGGCACATGTTGTGCATATTGTTTGTAATTACGTCCATTCTTGCTGTATTATCTTCAGATGCTATAACTAGTTGGCTGGCTTAGCTGAGGCCAGGGCATAGGTGTATCACTGGATTTTAGTGATGCATTTGGTATGTAAAGAGGTAATGTATTCTCATTTTATCCTGTAAGTATCACCTGCAGTGTGGGAGAAAACTGATGAATATGCAGAATTACCAAGCGCTCCAGTTACCCCAGTGACTAAAACATCTCAGTATAGTACCCAGCTGGCTAAACTTCACCCCTCACTTCTACTTTTGACATTCTTTTCCTTAACTTTTATCTTCTATTCTACGTTTAACAGCTTCCATTGATGCCTCTTCCCTACTTATTGCTGGGAATCAGTGAGCCTCAACCAGATACCTTTCTGTTACACTATTTATGTTATCCTTCTGGGAAACTTAGTACCTTAATCCAGTAAATTCAGACAGCTTTCCAAGAACTTTTAGGATAGAATCATTAGGTGATAATTTTAATTATCAGAACAGATCTGGGAATAGGAAAAGGAGAAAGATGTGAGATCTTTAGCAGCAAATCACTTTTCGCCATCAGTACTTCTGCTTGTAGTAGAACTTTGAAAATGTTATTTCTGTAAATAGTTGAGTGTATCAGAACTTAAAAATTATGTGAATTGTGTGGAGTTACACTGTGTTTCAAAAGCAGAATTCGAAACTAAAAGCATTATATGCTATACACCATGGTCTTTAGAATGCAGTATTGCCTATTGTATTTTTGGTCAGTTCAGTTTTTATAGGAGCACTACATTATGGACATTATTATTCTAAGCTTGGAACTTTATCATAGCCAACTACCCTGATAAGGAATGTATTACGTAAATGATGGAGAAGTCCAAAGAGTCTCCGTAGTTCTACAGGAAAAGTAACACATATTCTGGTACAATTTCTAGAAACCCTGTGCCTTCAGCCCATATTCAAACTACTGCCTTTTGGCTGTAGTTAAACTCTCCCATGACTCTAAATATAAAATGGCTGTGGAGACTCAGAAGCCAGAAACAGAGATGTTTTTTAGAGTTTCTTGAAACCAGACCAGCAGAAGCTGTCTGATACCAGTGATAACTCCATAGCTGACATATGTAGTTAAACCTTGACCTCTGGATCATTACTTTGGCGGCTTTCTTATGTTTGATGGGGCTTACATGGGTTTAGTCAAGGGCAAAACCCACTGGCAGTTTGGCTCTGTGCATCCTTCTGCTAACATCTGAGAGGTACATCTTTTATGCTTCCTAACCAGAGTCACTGCTGTGCTTGAGCAAAGCTAACAGTTGTGTTAAAGTGCAGGCATCAGTGACCATTGAACATTAGTGAAATAGTTTGAGAGCACAAATGCTAGAAATGTAACAATGATATTCACCATAAATTGAGGTGGTTTTTTACAATGGAAACAATGGGTTTAAGTCCTAACTCTGTGAATAACTATGTTGGTCTTTGGAAAATCAGCTATTCTCGACTTATTTTCCCACGTATAAACTAGGAAGTTATACTAGATGATCTGGCTACTAAAGTCCATCTATGGGTGTTGAATTTAAGTGATGAATCACTAGATTTCTACTCCTGGAACTAATATCACACTATGTTAACTAATTAGAATTTAAATAAAAACTTGAAAAAGGGAAGGAAGGAAGGGAGGGAGGAAGGAAGGGAGAGAAAAAGAAAAGAAAGAAAGAAAATCCATCTATCTCTGAGATCCTAGTAGTCTAAGGAATAGTCACCAGGCTTTAAATGTATAGTAGTCTAATCTGAGAAGTCTGAAATAATGGTACTCCTCCCAGTTTAACCCAGTATTTTTATGTTTTATTATATCTTGGTTTTTGTACCCTGGCTATCTAATCCTCAAGGAAATGTTAGGTAATAGTTGTCTGCAAAGAGAGCAGGAATACTGACTCATACCCACCATCCATTCATTCTTTGAAAATTTTACGTTCTGAAAATTGAAACATACATAAAAATAGAATAGTACCTCTGTGAACCGAGAGAGCCAGCTTCAGTATTATCAACATGTCATGTCATCCTCTTCTTCCTATTGGAATATTTTAAAGTATATATCATACAATCTCATCCATGTATACGTCAGTATATATTCCTAAAAGATGAGGACTCTTATTATTGGATATAATTATTATACCAGTTTTTTACCTAAGAAAATTAAAATATCCAGTTAAAGTTTGTATTTCCCAATTGTCTGGAAAATGTCTTTCTTACCTAGTTTGCAATATTTCCAATTTGGTTATAATTACTCTTACTTTCAAGAACTTATTTTTAAGGGGCACCTGGGTGGCTCAGTCGTTAAACGTCTGCCTTCGGCTCAGGTCATGATCCCAAGGTCCTGGGATCGAGTCCCACGTCGGGCTCCCTGCTCCGCGGGGAGCCTGCTTCTCCCTCTCCCACTCCCCCTGCTTGTGTTCCCTCTCTCACTATGTCTGTCTCTGTCAAATAAATGAATAAAATCTTAAAAAAAAAAAAATTTTTTTAAAAACAATCCACATAAGGTTTATACTTTGCATTTGGTTGATTGTTCTTTAAATCTGTAACAGCTACCTGACTCTCCTTTATTTATGTCATTTATTTGTTTAAAAAATTATTTCTCTTGTTTAATTTCACACATTATTGATTTGATTGCATCCTTGGGATGTCATTGTACATGTTCTGCTGTTTCCTATAAACTGTTCATTAGATCTAGAGGGTTGCTTAGAATCAGGTTCAATATTTTTAGCAAGAGTACTTTATAGACAATGATGTATACAGGGTCTTTCTTTTGTAACATTAAATAAGAAATGTCAACCTCACGTATCGATTTTAATGTTTCCCCACTAAGCTTTCAGCTACTGGTTTTAGTATCATTACTTAAAAGGGCTATGCTGATGTTCATTTTTTTTTTTTCTATTCAAAAAATAGTTGAACTTCTTTATGCCAGTGCTAGATCTGGCACATGGTAGAAACTTAATCTGTCCTCTTCTGTAGCCTAGTCAGTAAGGTATCCATCCCATTGGTAGATGCTAAGAAGGGCTAGCTTTCCACAAGCCCCTAGGAGGTGCAGTAACACCTACAAGCATGTGTCTACAAGTCATTGTAGGAGGCTTTATGCCCCAGGCCCACTCCACTTCAGCTTTCTACTCTCATTGGAGCTAAACAAAGTCAAAACTCCATCAGGTGGTACAAGTTCCCTCCAATACATAATCAGGGAAAGTAATATTTTCTAAAGGCAACTTTGGTTCTTTAGTGGAATTTGATTGTGAGTATTGTTCATCAACGTGGCCAGTACTCATTAAGGAGCTCCTTTGCATAGCCCTATATTATTATAGTTGGAAGGGAACCTTAAAAAAATCACCTAACTTAACATTCTGTTTTATAGATTAGTAACCTGGCATCCATGGTTACCTAGCTAGGTGGAAAGAAGGTGAGACTAGAACCAACTTCTCTGTGTTCTTTAGTATATTTGACTGTCCTTTGCTTTTCCAAATATTCATACATTTAACTGATGACAACACCGTTTCTACTGCTAGTGCTTTGTGTCTAGATTTCAGATTGGTATTTTTCTTCCCAACCATTGTTCTGAGTTTAGATCTTTGCCTATATAAATATATAAATGTGTGGAGTTTTTGTTTTTTTAACCTTTTCTATTTTAGATGCAGCAGTTCTTGGGAAGACCCCTTGTGAAAGAATCTTTCTTTAGACCCATACTCACTGTTCCTCAGATGCCTGCTGTTTGCCCTGGAGTCATCTCTGCGCCTGGCCAGCCTAGAGCCCCCCTGGTACAGATCTCTTTGTTGTTTTATCACCACAGTAGACTTCCTGAATGAATGTCTTCTATTTATTTGATAAGGGGTGATGGTGGTGGTAATAGTGGAAGGAGGAAAACTGATCATTGAATGAATAGTTCCATTTGAGGCACTGTGCTAGGAGCATTACATATATTATTTCATTAACTGATAATCAGTTTTTGGATACAACAATAATACATTTTTATAGTAGACAATCCTTATACGATTTTATAGTTTTGCTTCTGTAATAGGCAACAATACAGGGTAAATGGACATTTTTAATAGATCATTTATATTTAGCATGTTTGGGTAGATTAAAAAGCAAAGAACAAAATTATGCCACAAAGCTAAAGAAAAATTTTATTTACACAAACATAGACACACACAGGTATAGTAGGACAATGTTTCAGCTTTATCTATAAACACAATATAAATAGCATCATCTTGGAATATATTATACTATAAAGTTATGAATCTTCCTAGCTACAATTAGCCACATAAACCTTATCCAAACCTGAAGAGGCAATAGAGAAATTTTAAATGACTAGGATTATTAATTGTAATCTTGGCAGAGGTAAACGTTTATTTAAAAAAAATCTTCTCCTAAAAACTGATGTTAAATATAATTAATGAAAAATTCTCTAATCTTGACTTTTCCATAAACACATTCTAGTCAATTTTTTGTACCTATAAACGGTCTCCCTTTGAAATATATAGTCAGATGGACTTATTTTTGTAGAGGCTGTCTCTGCAAAGAAATATGTATATAGGCCTTAACATGTTAACTGATACCACATCTTTTTATACCCATGATACCACAATGTTGCTCATGTGGTTTGCACCTGCACCATTATATAAGGAGCTATGTATATAAAACTTTATTGAAAACTTTAAAGTACCTCAGCCTTCTAATAAGATTACTTTCTGATTCCTGGAGAAAAGCTTGATACTGAGGCAAACCCAGGTTTCTGGGCAGTATTCTCCTCTGACTTAGTAGGCTTTGTATGGGTTATTTCAGTGGCTGTTAGTCATGGCTAATTTTTCATGAGTAATCTTATATTTGAAAATAACCTGTAGAACATTAGGTAAAAGCTGTCTGTCATGTTGATAATTATCCTAGTAACCAGGTGAAAATATTCACTTGCTGATAATAATTAGAATCTTAAAGCTTCTAAGAAGAAACTACCCCAACATCTGGCAAAACTCTGATGGTTTCATGGCTCGGAGTGTCACTACAACTTCCACACCACCTTTGTCTGAAACATTCATGAGACATTGGGCAGACATTCTAGTAGTATTCTCATCTTTATTTCTTTGAAAATTCAAATTTAGCACAAACTACTTTTATATTTAGAAAAATTAGAAAACAAATAACATAGAAATATACAAATTGGAAAGCAAAATTACCCTGCAATTGAATCCTAGGAAATAATCACTGTTTACAGATTGTTTATAACTTGAAACCTTTTTCTATGCATATATATTTTTTAAAAATATAAAAATGAGTCATACCATAAATACTGTATACCACAGACTTTTTAAAAAAATGAAATATTTCATGGACATCTCACACTCAGATATATAGATCTGTTCTAAAGGATTAATTAGATGTGCTATAATTAGCAGACTAGGTTGTTTCTAGGTTTTTAAAATAATAGCACTAAACACCCTGTATTTCTGTACATTTTCAATTACTGAGACTCACATGTCCCCTTTTAAAAATAGGGGTAATTATAAATAATAAATATTGTGCTAGTTAAATAAAAATCTAAAAGGGGAATGTATATGTCAGTATTTCTCTTCATTCTACCCATTTTCTGAAGTATGGAAATACCATGTTGTCATGGAATGTTACTTCCTAATAACTGAAGCTGATGGGTTATAACTCTGTGCTCCTTACAGATGACTGGTATAGCCTGGACTGTGCCAGCACCTGTGGGAGAGGCTGTGTCTCCCAGTGCAAGTCTGGGAGGTGATCCCCCCATGATGAATTGGGAGAGGATTACAGACAGGCTGAAAACTGCTTTTCCACAACAAACCAGGTATCATAATTTTTATTTAGTTTGAGTACAGATCATACACTACAGTTTCCATAACCATAATTAGGACAATGAAACAAACACAAACACACAAATATATAACCTTAGTGTGGCCTTAGTAAGGAAAATGAAATTTAAAGAAATAGTGTTCAATATAAATGCTAAACCTCTTCACTAAATTTATTAGTCTTAAGTTATGAAAGATTTTTAAATTTAGGTTTGCTCCTTTATTAAAAGTACAACTAGTCATAAACCTATCCAGTTTTAATGCCACCAGCTGCAATAATTATCTTAACCTCTTTCCAAAGTGAATTTTAAGTTGATTGTATGCTATATAAGCCCAAACACCAGGTTTAACCCTCCTATTTCCTTAATTTTATTAAGGCTTTTAATTTTTGTTAGAGAACACAGTTAAATGCAAGAAATAATGATTTTTACTGTGCTTTTCACAGTGCTGACTTTAGCAGAAAGATATTTTTCTCCAGAAATGAAGTTTTTTATCTCTACTTTTATATTCAAGGAAATAATTCTAGTTTTTAACCAATATTTACACTTGAAGCCTAACACTTTTATTTAATGAACATATTGTTATGCTTCAGGATTAGATTATGGTTTTATAAATATAGTGAGTAGATGGGGAGGAAATCGGAGGGGGAGACGAACCATGAGAGACTATGGACTCTGAGAAACAAACAGGGTTCTAGAGGGGAGGGGGGATGGGTAAGCCTGGTGATGGTTATTAAAGAGGGCACTTATTGAATGGAGCACTGGGTGTTATACGCAAACAATGAATCATGGAACACTACATCAAAAACTAATAATGTATGGTGATTAACATAACATAATAAAATTTAAAAAAAGAACTGTAATACGTTTGTTATATATATATATATGTATAAAATGAATAGTAAATCAAAGGTAGTTTTACAAGGCTGATGACCTGACACTTCATTTGGGAAAGAAAATATTGCATTCTGCTTTATCCTACCAAAAATATATTCAGAGGCTTTGGGTCAAGGGTCTGTGATAGTGGAATTGAAAAAGAACATATTAATTAATTGCGTGTTAAAGAAACCTAGAAATATTTTAATGTGTCTTTTAGCTTCTCTGCTCTGTGTAATCTTTGAGTTTTACAAAAGTAAAATTATTTACAGAAGAGAGACAGACCTATAGTAACGTAGTTAAGAAGGAGTATTTTGTTCCTGAGTAAAAGCAGTTAGAGACACAGTAAAAGAGCTCAGTACATAAGTAAGTAGGTAACACACTCAGTTTTCATACAAGCTTTCAAAAACAGTTAAACTTTCTTTTTGGAAAGAATATTAAACTTTAGGAGTTTTTGTTTTGGTATAAGATAAATGTAGATAGACTTTAGCTCAGAGATCAAAGGGCCACATCTATATGCTGCTACATATCAATAGGATTTTGTATCTTGTGTAGGGGGCACACTCTCAAGGCAGTAGGAAAAATCACCACTGCTCTTTCCTGGATCTCTTCCAGGAAGGAGCTTACGGATTTCTTACGGAAATTGAAGGACATTCATGGGAAGTCCTTATCTGGACTGACATTTGATGAAATTGTGTACAAAATTTCCCAATTTATTGACCCCAAGAGATCACAGGTAAAAACAAAAAGCCTTTATCTGCCTGCCCTTCTGTGTAGTAGTGAGTGGTCTTAATTATCTTCATAACGTGTCTATAAATCAATAACCTATAATCACATTAAATTGTCTATTAACAATTCAACTTAACAAATGACATTGGAAGTCTTTTTGAAATAATACCTGATCATTCTAGAATAAAACTGACCCTCTTGAAATTTCTTCTAGGTTGCTTTGACTCTAAAAGAAGACCTTTTTTCTAATTTTAATTAAAAGAGCATATAATGTTTTTTTTCCTTTATCTGGCTCTGAGTATACAAGTGATATTGCTAACATTTTGTTTCAAGATTTCTTACAAATCTAATTGACTTTTACCCTTTTGCTAATTCTCACTGTACCCATGTACCCCATTTTCTGTGCTGTTCTATTAGTTTTCACTGTGTTAGAACACTTCTGGAAAAAGAAGTATAATAATCTTGTTTTCAGAGCCAAGGAAAATCTGTACCAAATGGTAACTGTGTTTCACCCAGCCACACTCCTCCACAGTCTAATACTGCCCAACCCCCAAAACCAGCCTGGAGGCCCCTCAGTTCACAAGGGCCTGCCTCATGGGAAGGAGCCAATAATTTGGTGAGACTAAAACTGTTGATTCTAAGTACATTTAAATTTGAGAAAAAGAAATGAGCTGAGTTGAACCTTATGTGTATTTTTCCTAGGATGATGAGGAGGAGGAAGAAGAGCCTTGTGTGATCTGTCATGAGAATCTCTCTCCAGAAAACCTCTCTGTTTTGCCTTGTGCTCACAAATTCCATTCTCAGGTAACCCTTTAAACTTACCTTTTTATTTTATTTTTTATTTTACTGATTATTTTTTCAATTAAAAAATTAAATGTCGGGCGCCTGGGTGGCTCAGTCGGTTAAGCGACTGCCTTTGGCTCAGGTCATGATCCTGGAGTCCCGGGATCGAGTCCCGCATGGGGCTCCCTGCTCAGCGGGGAGTCTGCTTCTCCCTCTGACCCTCCTCCCTCTCGTGCTCTCTGTCTCTCATTCTCTCTCTCGCAAATAAAAAAAAAAAAAAAATTAAATGTCATTTTAAAGTCAGTTTAATATAGAGAAGTAATATGAAATAGTAGAAAAATGACCTGTACACTACCCTGAAACCTCAATATTCAAAGTCAGGTTAATATATTTAGATAATAGAAGATTCAAACAGGGGCGCCTGGGTGGCTCAGATGGTTAAGCG